AATGCACAACAAATTTAAATTTCAGCTGTATAATAAAATAGTGTATATAGGTACTTTACCTATACGGCTATACCTACATTATTTTTTATAGGACAATTCTATGATTAACGTTATTTTGTTAACCTTATAGATTATTTTGAACGCCAGAAATCATTAAATATTTTTCAATATTGTCGCTATGACGTAGGTACCTATTTAAAAATCATAAGATAAATGATTTGAATACGTCATTACTCATTATTGTAGAACGGTGTGATTATTTTCTTTACTAAGTCTTAAACACAATTAAACATTGACGTTTATTATTATTCAAAATTGTTAATAATATTATGTACCTATCAAAATATCGAGGTTATAATGTTTTATCTGTATCCTTATTATGTTAACATGACATGTCATGTGCATATTACAATTGCGAAAGTGATTAATTAGTCGAGATGATTATGACTATAATTATCTGTGGCATTTATTTGAATTATGATTTCTATTGTAATTAATTAGGTAATCAATATATTTTAACGTTCATTGAATTAAGAGGATGTCAGCGCACTGTTTGTTATCTCTCTCTGGCCCACATAGCATTATTTTTTCTATGTTTTTAAGTACTTATTCTTAGAGTAAAATCAATCATTACAAAAAAGATAGAGAATAATATTTTTGAGGAAATGACATATCGATTTTATATTTTATTGTTATTTGACATTGTATTCGACTTTCAAAATAAACAAAAAAATGTAGTAAATATTCGTCTTTTTTAATAAAAAATGTAGCATGCTACTATAGATAGATATTTTTTCTCTGCAAGGAAAATTTCGTTTTCATAGATAATATGTTATTGGGTATTGTGCTGTGGAAAATATCCAGTAACATGCAACATTTTGTTAGGAATTTAATGAATTAAAAATTATAGAATGATTTTTAGAATAATGCAAAAGTTCAAAACCTGTTAAATTATTATTTAAATTATTTTTTATTCAACTCATAATGTTTATTGTTGATTTTGCGTTTCTCTGAGAATAAGCAAAGCGTTACGCAATATCAGCTAGAAAAAAATCAGTTAGAAAAAAGTTGTATCCAGCCAAAAAAAAAATTGTTAATAATAAAAATACTATGTTCATGAGCCAAAAAACTCGAAAATATAGTAAAATATCCCACATAAGCTTTTCTTATAACAATTTTAAAATATTAAAAATACATGAGAGGTACATACTTTTTTTTTATACATATTTAAAGTATTTTTTACTAAATTAGATATTTAAACAAAGCATAACAGTTTTAAATAGGATTTATAGTAATTCTAAAAAATAATATTTGTAGGAACTTAAAACTTTTTATTAGTAAAAGGATGTTATTATTTACTATAAACAATGAAATTTTCAAAATATTTAAATTAATTTTAAGCAAACCATCAGCCTATTCACACCGGTCTACGGAACCTACAATAGCTATAGGTACTTCAGCTGTAGTATAGGTATAAATTTTCCTTTACTTCATAACGTAATATTATATTAATTAATATTTTTATATATATACGTATTAGTTATTAATAACTCATTATAATATTATAATGCATGCTATTTGTTTTTTCCAAAGTTAGTTCAACTTACAAAAAAATAAATTACTAATATCAATATAAGTATATAATTGAAGGGTTCTATCATTTGATGGCCTCCCTTATAATGTCATTCTGTTATTATATTATATTGTTTTGTTGTACATATTATCACATTTGCTTATTGTGTTTTATTAATACAGATTGTAAATTTTCTAAAATAAAAAAAAAAAGTATATAATAAAATGTCTTTAGAAATATAAGAGGCAAATTGTCTTCGTTCTAGATTCGTTTTTCATAAAAATATACAATGATTTATATATTTTATCATCAAATTCAAATTTAACACATCTAATTTTCAATGAAGTGCCTACTCAGTAGTTAGATGTACTATGCAACAGTGTGACTTTAACGGTTTTTCATTTATAATGTAAATGAGAATTAATATATATTTGTTATTTGGTATTAGTAATATTGTTAGATAATTATAATATATTTGCACTAAGTTAAAATAAAAGTATTTTTTTTTACCAAAAAAGTTTAAAATACATATTTTTATGTGGCTGTGGTTATAATATGTATACCTAATGACTTATAGAAATATAGGTATTTACAGTAATAACTATATGTAATTTTAGAATATACTCTTTCCCACCAACTACTAAAATCATAAATAACTTTCTGCTTTTTAGGATGACAAATGTTATTTTTATTTAACGTAATAATTTTTGTAAATTTTTCACCCATCAATTTGGCAAATGTTATATTTTCGTCATGTAAACGTTGGGAATAGTATTGAAATTAAAAATAATTATTAAATTCAGTTGTTTAACAACAAAAAAAAAGTAAATATTTGGTATAGTTAGTTTTAAGTTACCAATCTAATGCCTAAATGGCTAATAATCTATTGTAATAATTTCAAGTATTTCAACTAATTTTCAAACATTCGTAGTGAACATTTAGTCACGTAATATACGTCATGCATTACAATTACTTTATCGGAGATAACAGATCATAATACCTACCTAATTATAAAAGAAAACAAAGTTCAATAACAATTTAATAATATAACTAACAAAACACAAACGAAAAAATTGGCATAATTTAAACGATATGCTGGGATCATTATCACCATTCAATACTTAGAAATTAGCTACTAGCTAGGTACATGCCTATATTATTAGTTTAGTCTGTATACATATTAATGTACTATATAGGAAGGTTCTTTTTTTTTTTTTTATTTCTTATAAGGAATAAGTTATTGGTAAATTTTTGTTTTACATTGGTACCCACCTGTATTATGTCAAAGGCATGTACAAAAACGGTTTTACATATTTGTGTAAATATTACTACATAATAGGTATAACCATTGATTAAATATACATATTTAATCAATGGTATAACACATAAATATGTTTCTTATTTTTTTAAATTATTTCTGCTCATACATTTCGTGCCTATAGTTAAAAATCAATTTTCTATTTAATATTCGCAGTATAGTTTACACAAATTTTAAAATAACCAATTTTTTTTTTTTTTTTTTTTTTAAATCGATTTTATTTTTGGTGGAACAAAAAACTAGTTATTAACACTTGAATTTTCACCAAATATTTAAAATAGCAATTTCCAAAACTTGGAAATTATTTTTCAGTTAGAAATTTATAAAAGTTTTTCTTTTCATAAATAACATTAGACATTTTCTATCAAAATAACCTCGATCAAAGAGAAAAGTTATCGAAAATGTACGCTGACTATGGCCATGAAATATTTTCATTTTTATTAATTTTTTTTTTAACTTAAATTGTATTATTTATACAAGTTTTCTAGGCTGATACAACATCTCCGCTCAGAATCGATTTTCGTATACAATGATTTATCATTAAATTAAAATATAACACTTCTATTACACCTACATGCTCGACAACTACTAGCTGTTCAACAGAGTCAAAAGTAAAAAACACCAGTAATCAAAAGCGTCAAGAAAAACAAACAAAAAATTAAAGAAAAATTGATTTTATTTTTTGGTGTAATTTAAAAAAAATAACAGAATATAGATGACATCGCCACTTAATTTTTGTATTAGCAGTTTCTATGCACCACAACATTTTCGAAATATTGCAATGCTTTTTGAGCTATTTATATAGGCATAAGAACATTTCGAGTTTCGTTAGTTTTTTTTTAAATTATTGTCGACACTTGATTTTTTGGTCAGTCATAAACCTAAAAATTAATACAACGTTCCTCATAAGTTGATGTTAGTGGAAATAAAAATTTGAGAGTAAATCTACAGTAATTTGTATGGGCGTCATCTGAAGTTAAGATTTGACAAAATTCATCAAAACACGAAAATTGGAAAATTATTTCGAGGTAAAAATTCATAAAAATCTTTCTATTTAGGTATATATAAAAACTTTGAAAAATATATTATAAGATTCCCTTTAAGTGTCCGTAAATTCAACAAAAATAGTTGTCGGAAAGTCAAATAAATTTTTTACGAGCTTTTGAAGCTAGTATTGGCAGTTTTGGTATTTTTAGTAGCCGTAAATTAACAAATTCTAATTTACGTTTTCAACTCAACCCCTCCCCCCTGTATGGCTGTATACATGCCTGTTTGAGCTTATACTATATTTAAATATAATATTATTATTATTGTTCATTAAATAATAAATATACTTACCTCCTGGCTACCTATTTGTAAATAATTAATTAAATATTAATAATGTGGCAATATTAGCGTTTAAAAAATATTTGTTCAATCATTTTAATGTGGTTGTATCACTGACCATTGTACAAGTTGTGAGTATTTTTGTTGTCTATAGGGATTTAAGGGATTTTTTTTCCTAGGTTGGTGGATTTTTTTTCGGGAATTTTTTCAAGCGAATCTTATGATTCGTTATCACTTATCAGGTGCTTTATCAAACACATGAACATTAGAGATTCTAAACAGTGACTCTAATGTTCATGATCAAACAATATCATTATCGCTTAACATCACGATTTAAGATATTATACCTAGGTATATCTTAAATCGTGCTTAACATTAATTTTGTCTGTTTAGAACTTACTGTATTTTGATTTTGAACAATGAACCAGAAGAACTCTGATACTAAAGGCGGGTTCACACTACACCGTGTCGTGTAATATAATCACGGTTACCTAAGTTACCAAACGATACAGCATAGTTGAATATATTCAACTTTTGACCGTGTGGTTACATTTATGTGCAGATAAAGTCGGGTTCATACTTAATGTAACCACACGGTCAAAAGTTGAATATTCAACTAATACTAACTTGAATTTCAACGTGATTCGATAACACTGGTGTCTGTGGGTTTTACTCCAAAATCCATCCGCTCTTTAATTTTGTTGTTGATCGACAAGTGAGAACCGTTAATAAAACAAATGTATTTATTGGCTTGCTAGATTTTGTTTATCATCGTAAAATTATATGTCACTTATTCGTGAAATGGAAGACGAGGTTGAACTGTAAGAAAATTAAAGATACCTAAAGTATTACTTGTGCATTTATTTTGTTATTATTAAACTTTGCCTTTAAACCTAGATGCAAGATCCAGGGGTTAGAACTAATATTGAAATCAATAAATTGTGAAAAATATGTATCCAAATTCGAAAAACATGGAATTAATGAACATACGTTAATTCTTTTGTCAGCGGATGATCTCAGGACCCTGGATGTTGATAATAAGGACATTTATACTATATTGAGTGCAATAAATATACTCAATAAAACATTGAAGAACTGTGAAATAAGATTATCGTAAGTTAATTGATTATTGATTCAAAACAGAAACATTTAATTATAATTTTTTTTTTTAATTATATGCTATCATTTATTTTATCAAACATAATATCCTTATTGACATACACATTTTTTTTTATAGAAATGATGAAATTCAACAAATACAATCCAACATTTGTGGGCAACTTGGATATATTGCTTTAGCTTTAAGTCATATACATAATTCAATCACTAACGATGAAAATAATTTAAGTGATATGTTAATTGATAACCATATATCAGCAATTGATGCAGCTTTAATGTTAAAGCCTTATATGAGAGCAGAAGAAAAAAACATTGAAAATTCATTAAAAAATGTTTTTAAGGTAATACAAATGTTAATTTATTAATTTTAAGTTAAAAATGTATGTAATATGGCACAGAAACTGAATTTTTAATTTTTGCTGTATTTTACATAAAAAGATAACAAAAGAATAAAACTAATTAATTTTTTAAAAACCATAGTACCTAATCTCAATAAAATTTTCAAAAAATAATGTTTTTAGATTTGTTGGTATAAACTATAAATGCCTTTGTGAAATAACCGAACATTTTTGAAATATTTTCAGACTTAGTGCCTTAAAAACATATTTAAAAAAAAAACATAAAAAATTATACTTATTTTTCATTATTTGTAGGGATGTGCCGAATTCACTTTTAACCGATAACCGATATATTCAAAACTTTGAATTTATATCCAAACACATGAACCGATATTATAAAATACCCTTATAATACTTACCGATACCCGATAATACTTACATAACATGATAACATCAATACGTTTAGTATTTGCAGTTATAACGACTCTCAGAGTTGATAATATTAGATTATACGTATTATAATGATAAATTGTTTTTTTTTTATCAATCGGTTTTAAAAAAAAACCAATATTGGCCAATAATCGATATCAGTTTGCATATCGGCCCGGCCCTAATTATTTGTGTTTAATTGTCTTACTTATTAATTGATTGTGTATTTTAGATTACAACAAGAAGAAAAACTATCATGATTACTACGACAATGTGTATGGTCCTCGTATTTGGTCTTACATTTCGACGTCTAAATTATTCATTAAACTTTAATGCTATATTCTAAAATGTAATATCCCATAATTTGGAGTTTTGTACTATTTCAATATTGTATAATTTCATAATATTATTTATATTAGTCTTAAAAGTAAATACTGTAAATTTGTTTGTATCAAAAGTTTAACTACTAAATTTTGCATTTAAGTTTCTGTGCATGGGAATTTAATAATAATAAATAATCTTGCTAATTTTTCTCGATCTTCTCCTTTTGGTTTTATACAAAAATTAATCAGAAAATGACAGGTTACTGAAGTTTGATATTTGGTTCTTGTTTTATCTTAGTAAACAATAATTATGTACTGGTGTATTATTTCAATTTTTAAATAATAAATTGTTGCATTTAAAAATATTTATCTGAGTGGCACTGTGAATCCATTAGCTGGAATTGCATTATAATCTTTCGATGACTTGATTGTTCTTTCTTAAAAACAGGAGTAATTATTATTTAACATTCTATCTAAAATAATGATAAATTATAAATGAAAAAACAAAGTATACAACTTTATTTAGAAACAAATATTTAACAGTTTACTAATATACTATACTAACATTTAAGAATTTGTAAGCAAACATTTTAGATTTTTGTAATACGTTTTTACACTTTTTTTTTAATACATTTTAATTAAATTATTTGTTATTTGTATAACTGTATTATATTTATTAAAAAATAAGGTTTTATAAATTGATTTATTCAGGCGATTCAGAATTTCAACATAATATCAGAGTTTGTTGATTTTTATAGATTATTTAATATTATTATAAAGATCATATTTCATGACACATCCAAATAACCCTCGGTTCCTTAATTTTTCATACTACTCTAAATTCCAAGATTTTTTTGTCAAAGATCTTTTTATACATTCATGTTTTGTTATAATCCATTGATTATGTCTCAACTCTTTTGATGAATATTGAGATTATTGTCACCTTTAATTGTACATACTTCTCTTACAGAAAACACCTTCAGGCTTCAATAGCTTCTCTAAAAAATTATGTTGACTTGAATACTTCTAATATTCCTTATATTATTGTATACTAGGTACTTTTATTAGCTTTCACTTTTTCATAAAAATGTGTTATTATGTATTTGTAAAGCTCTATTACATTATGACGTACAAGTAAACAAATTAATTAGATAGTATTATAGTAATACCTATATATATATAATACCTACACTTCAATGAATGGAAACATCAAGAAAATATTTAGCCAATATTGTTTCTTCAAATACTCAGCATCAGCCGTCAGTCATCTAGTGAATCTATTAACTGTATTAAAAGTACCCATACAATTAAAATATAATTTCATAGTTAAAAACTAATAATTATGATATTTTAATAACTAAGGAGTGTTGCAATGTTGCAAATAATGCTTAAAATATACTTCTATTATAATTTATTTTAAAATGATATAATCACAATTTTTATTTTATATGAAATTATACATTCTGTATCTTGAGGCACAATAAGCATATAATAACAGACATAAACATGAGCAATTTTTAAAAAGTAGCCGACTATTGATGACTTAAATCGCTAGGTAAGTAAGATTGTTAGGTCATATTATATACTTAGACCCAAGTTATTCTTAAAAATTATATAATTAAGGGGCCCTTACAGTTACATTTGTTTTCTCTGTCTTACAAGTGCGTAACACAACAAATTTTACTCTCAGCAAAACACATTTCCCGTTAGTTTAAAAATTAGAGCGAATTGACCTCTTATAAAATTTAAAGGCAAGATTATTATCTAGACAATGACATAGGCTTTTTATTATAATTTAATTTTAAAGCGAGTTATGTGTATTTTAAAATTGTAAACTGTTTGTACATCTTAAAATACTCATTAATCGCTTTAAAATTAAAATATAATAAAAAGCTTATGTCATTGTCTGGATAATAATCTTACCTTTAAATTTTATAAGGGGTCAATTCGCTTTAATTTTTAAACTAACGGGAGATAAACGTGTTTTGCTGAGCTTAAAATTTGCTATGTTACGCACTTGTAAGACGGATACAACAAATGTCACTAGCTGTAACGTCCCCTTAACAGTTGGCAGAAAATAGTTTTTATTCGCTAAATAGAATCTGATATTTATAGGTACCTATAGGCCATAGATTATAGTCAGTATAGTCATACAGTTCATTCATGTAGGATTTTTCACCATACATTGAAATATTACCTATACATAATCATAACTGTCAATTAAAAGGTTGTAGCTAGCTAAAATGTTTCTTGTTTGGTATGAAATTGCTTATAGTATTTTTCACACCTTATGAAAGACAAATATGATGACATCTGTATGCGTTATAGATTTACTAATAACATATACCCCCTGTCAAGATGTAAAATATAATATTAACACAAGACCCCCAGCTAGGAGACCACATTGAGTCCATATGGCAATGGCATATTATTAACATATAAGGATAAACGTTATTTAAAAACAAAACGAGATGCATTATTATTATTATTATTATTATTGTCTGTTAGTATGTATACAATCTTTTCTGTTCATCATTTAGTTATGAACAAACAATCATTCCGGATTTGCTGGATTATCTCTCGAGTCTCGACGAAGACTGAAATAGGTATTATTTCTGAATATAACCTGATAGTCGTGAATGGCATAGGTAGTATACTAATTCATTTATAGGTACTAAAATTTGTTTTCACTTCAGAATTTGTGCAATGAAACACATGTTTAATAGCAATAACATGCTAGACAACAATGATGAAGATTCGTCGTGCTATTGCAAGTAATAATTTTTAGATTTTAATTTAATTAAAGAAACATTATAACTAAAATTGGTATTCCATATTATA